ACACGTGATGTGACAGCTTTGATAGGAAGACGACTTGAAGACTGGGAAAATAGTAAGTTCAATATTCTACTACAAGAAGCCAAACGATGTTCACAAAAACAACCTAGGAAACCTATGAAAAAAAACAGATCTGAAGACGAGCACACCGCAGTGGTTTTTGCACGAATGATTATGGAAGGGAAAGTTCGGTCTGCCATGCGTTGGTTGACAAGCAGATCTGGCGGAGGTTTGCTCCATCCAAATGACGAAGTTATTCATTCCACAACAAAAACAAGAAAATTAGTCATTGACATTCTGAAAGAAAAACATCCCGTAGCAAAACAGTCAAAAGAAAAAGCAAGAATTCAAGTAGACAGCTTGCCTGAGTTAGAAACAGTAATCATAACTTCTTCTTATAGAAAAATTTGCGATGTCAATGCACGGTGGAGCCGGACCTTCAGGAACAGATTCGGAACATTGGAAAGACGCATTTCTTCGATTTGGAGGACACAGTTCGGCTTTGAGAGACGAAGTGGCAGCGCTGATGACAAAGATAGCTAACGAAATTATTCCATGGAACCAAATACGAGCATTGATTTCAGGTCGTCTGATAGCTTTGGACAAGTGCCCCGGAGTTAATTCCATTGGCATAGGTGAGTGTTTGCGAAGAATAATGTGTAAATGTATGGCCGAAGCTACCAAAAAAGATCTCGAAGAAACCTGTGGATCTCAACAACTAGCTTGTGGTGTGAAAGCAGGAATAGAAGGAGCTGTACACACAGTGGAGGAGTTGTTTAATAGCACCAAAGAGGACGGACATGGTCTTCTATTGATGGATGCTTCAAATGCATTCAATGCATTGAACAGGGAAACGGCTCTATGGAATGCTAGAATACTTTGGCCAAGGTGCTCACGATTTCTTTTCAACACTTATAGAGGGTATGCGCCGCTAATTGTTGCAGGAACGACAGAACTTCTTTTCAGTAGTGAAGGCACTACACAGGGTGATCCACTAGCGATGTTATTCTATGGTGTTTCATTGATGCCATTGATTGAATCACTCAAAGACCGAGATAAGTATTTACAAACATGGTATGCAGATGATTCGGGAGCTCTCGGCGCACTAGAAAACCTGGTTGAATGTTTGTCATCTTTGACTGAAAACGGCCCGAAGTATGGCTATTACCCAGAGCCAAGCAAAAGTTATTTGGTTGTTCACCCGAACTTTGTTGAAAAAGCTCATCAATTGTTTGACAGGTTCGGCATCAGAATAGTTGAAGGTAGAAGATATTTGGGCGGATTTATTGGCTCTGATCTCGAGAAGATGTTGGAGGAAAACTTTTTGCCAAGCTTACAAGGAACTTCTAGTGTCACACACTCAGATCGTGTTTTGTATTCACTTCCTGTCAAAAGAGGGGGACTAGGTGTGCGAAATCCAATAGAAGGTGCCGAACTAGCATTTTCCACTTCGCGCGAAGCAACCGACTGTCTCGTGAGTTCGATCCTTCTTCAAGATGATTTCGACCAAACTCTACACAAAACAAAGATGAGAGAAGCAAGAAAAAACCACGAGGAGAAACAAAATGCTGTGGACAAAGATAAACTCGATGAATTGCTTGCAGTTTTACCAGCAGATCAGAAACGGGTAATCCGGAGAATAATCGACAACAACTGTTCCTTGTGGCTAACTTCGCTGCCCTTGTTGAAAGATAATTTTGATTTGTCAGCCACATAGTTCAGAGACGCTCTATGTGTCAGGTACAGAAAACCACTCAAACGTTCTTTTTCGAGATGCGATGATGTCAACAAGATTTTGACTTACAGCATGCTTTTTCTTGCAAGAAGGGCGGACTGGTAACACTACGACACAACGAAATAAGAGCCGCAATGGGCGATCTTGCTTCAATTTTGTGGAAGGATGTGAAAAGAGAACCTGTCGTAAAAGAACCAGATGTAGAAAATGGAACCCCGGCACTAATTGCAGATCTTTCAACTCGTGGAGTTTGGGATAGACAGTCGGCTGCGTCGTTCGACATCCGTGTTACAGACACTGACGCTCCGTCTTACCAAAACCGCAATCCCATGAATGTACTGAAAACTGCAGAGATTGAGAAGAAAAATAAGTATGGACCAGCTTGTGAAGAAAAGCACATGTCTTTCACTCCACTTGTCACTTCAATAGATGGTGTTTTGGCACTGGAGTTCACGTTTTTCCTCAAACCACTAGCAGATGGTCTGGCATCAAAATGAGACCGCCCATATAGTCATGTCATGTGCTGGGTGAGATGTAGAATTTCATTCGCTATACTAAGAGCAACAAACATTTGCATCAGAGGCACAAGATCCAAATGGCAATCCCTCGGCGTTGAGGACGGTTACACAATTGGAATGGCATTCTAAATATTCACACGCTGTTAACTGGGGCTTTCATCGCGCATAACTGACTCCTATGATATTAGAATTTCGACTCGACACCATTTGCATATTATTTCGAAGAATATGAGAAGTTTGAAGATAAAACACAGGATGACAACAGTGAATAAGCAACGAAAAACTTTTCCTTGCACCATTCGAAACCAATTTATTTTGATTTTAAGTTAAATTTACAATTTTCCTTCGTTAACTAAAAAAAAAAATTGTAAGAAAAAATTTCCGAACATACTGCAGAAACAACAAAAAATGATTGCGATTAGTCGAACAAAAATTCGAAAAGTAAGGGTGCTGAAATTAAAAAAAAAGCTTTTAGATTTATCAGCTGAAAAAAAATAGGTTCGTGAAGGAATTATGAAAATCTTCAAATAAAAAATTCAATTGCAGATTTGAAATTTTCACAAAATCATTAAACTGAAATAAATATCTACTAGAAGATAAACAGATCAGAACATTACACCAAAGTTTTGTCGTAAATAAATTGGGCAGAAAAGTGAGCGGCTCATTTTTTTAAGGCTGTCAAACAAGATTTTCAAATTTGGTTTCACATCATACATTTCCCAGCAAGAAAATTAGCTAGCGCTGTTTATAAAGTTAGTGATTTACGGCTGCGCGGTATTGCTTCTTATGCAAATAACTTTTTTGATTGTTTCATGAGCTTCATTTTGAATGTCGCGAAACTACTGTCGTCTGGAAAAAAATTGTCCTTGTACTCTAGTCATTGCATCCAATTATTAATTTTTATTCTACATAGCGTATTAATTTCAAATTTCTCGAAAATGGTCTTGGATGCTTTAGGGTTTAACGCCCTATTAAAAACGGTCTATTCTTTTGGTAGCCTTACAGTAAACATTCGAACCAGCCGAAATGTTACTGCCGAAATCTTTTGTTTTATGCTCGGTTTGCTAACAAATATTTCATTCTCACTAGCGTGTGTCTAGCACCTACAGCGTTCAAAACAGATTGCCATGTTTGACTTTTTTGAAATTAGCTGCAACTGAATAAAAAGCATTTGATGCTTACTAGCTTTCATTTTCTGTTTTTTTTTTTTCAAATCAAAATTTTCAACTCTAAGTGGTAACTGATTTTTTAAAGAGCCAATTGCTGTAATTTGCCTATAATTTTCTTACCACAAAAACAAAATATTTTTTAAAAAAAAGTTATTTTTTTTTTCGAATATTGAGATTGAGTGATTGGGTCGACTGATATATCATAATAAAGCTCTTTGAGTCATGATTCGGACGACATTAATATACTTTCAAAAAACTCTCTCGTTGTCGAGAAAAACTAGTTTGAATTATCCGAAAGATTTTTCTGTCTGTCGATGAGTAACGACTGGAAGGGCTTAAAATGATAATTCATTCAAACCTAATTTGAATCTATCACCTATTTTGAAATATAAGAATTAGATTAACATTAGCCTATTGTAACCTAACCCTTGCTCGCTTAAAATTTTTTAGAAAAAATCATTCCGAATTTTTTTTCGTCACCAAAATTGTTTTAAAATTTCTTAATGTCTGTCGAATCAGTCACGACTGATCCCTTGCAGTCCTGACTGATTTGGAAAACAATTTTAAAATTTCAAAACATTTTATTGTGTCGACAAAAATTTGGTATGATTTTTTCTAAAATGCTATATCATTAAAACTATTGCAATGGTTTTTGTGGTACCAGATTCTGCGTGAAAACGACTAGAGTTCCGATGACAAAAGTCGTAAAACTGAAGATCCAGAGACAAAGCTGCGTTTCGCAAACAAGCGCGAGAAAGCTAAAAACAAAGTGAAATCAGAGAAAAGCAAAAACTTGAAAAATAAAAAATATAACGAGATAGACAGAGATAAAGAATCTCGCGTCCTCACATCTGGGCCCCGATGGATTGAAAGTTCACTACCACCAACTATCGATGACAACGCCGCTACAGTTGCTAATCATTTCTAAATGCTTTGCATCAAAAGTGCTACTAATAACCTAATTCAATGTGGCGGAATTACACCTCCGAACTGAAGACTATGAGCCTGACATCACAGCTGCACCAGTCGCAAAAACGTTCCTAGCACGAGCCGGCAATAAAGCAGCTACAGTAATTTTAACATTGCCGATGTGAATAAAGTTGGAAAAAATGTTACTTCGTAGTATTACACTGTGAGTAAATACTGTCAGCAAAGATAACGAAGCCTTGATAATAGTTAAGAATAGATAAAAATTTAACTTAGAGCCAATGAAAGTTGTTGTTCAAACCACTGCAGGAGTTTTGTCTTCTGTAGTGTATGTTTTCTTTATACCCCTCCATAAAAGTGAGGTGGTACGAATGATTGTCAGAATGGGTCAATTGTCAATAAGTTTATCAAGTTTCTGCAGAAAAAATGCTTATGACTTCTTTTCATTTTTCGAACTGTTGTCGAATGTCTCATTTACTCAACTATGGAACTTGATTGATGGAACTTAACTATATTTCTAATCTCTCGTTCAGATCCTCTCATCAACATATTTCCTATTTTGTTATAACTGTGGTCAGAATGTTCTATTTGCACACTAACCGGCTATCCTTGTTATTATATGATATCTCGTGACTTCATTTGCCGAGGAAGAAGTTCTTAAAACATTTATTGAATAAATATATTCAATTTAAATTTAGGCTGCAAAAATATGAAAGATTTAAGCTGAGAAATGAATAGGCTGTAAATTGAATTGAAGAAAAACGAAATAAAGATTTATGCTAGTTTTGTTTTGCATCAACTAGTATGTAGAATAATACACGAATAATGAAAGACATTAAGAGTTGAGTTCGAACAGGATGTCGGCCATGTTTGCGTATACTTCTCTCGTGTCAACTGCGGCGAACACTTCCGATGTTGAGAGGAAGAGAAGTTGTTTGCGATATGGGAGCAGGATTTTGGGATTCAATTGCGAAATGCGCAGCAGTAGACTGGAACAACTGCGTGCCATGAACAAGTTGGCGGAAGGGTCGAATAGTTGGCCGCTGAGCGAGGGTGATGATGATGTGAATGTTGGATTGCTAGTCCTCGTGTTGAAACCGGACTTGGCTATCAAATTGACCGACTCTTTGAGGTACTCTAACACTTTGTTAACAAAGTGGGATGCGTTGCATAGATGGCAGACACCTATGTCCGACTTGGACAGGTATGTTAGTAAGACTAAAGCGAGTTCTCTAATTGCGGGTTGGCTACTATCGCTAACCATGTCTAACAGTACAGCTACTAGTTCTGATATTCTACTTGCGGGAGGTGTGGCTAAAAGGTAATCAGTATTGTTGTATGCTAAACACATTTTGCAAAGCGTTTCTAGGGCCAAGCGCTTCATAGTGATTGTAGAGTGTATAGCACCAGGAACTGGGTCCGAGCTTACGCAAGATTTGCACACGAGCCAGTGAGTGAGTGCATCCATTAGACTAAATACACACTTTTCGTCAAAATTGTCCAGGTTAATTTTGGACGCAATGTTGGATAGAAGTACAATGCAGTTTTCGCGGATTCCGTTCAGGTAGACTGACTCCCAGTCATCTGGAAGCATCTTCCAATTCACTTCCCTCTTTTGACGCGAAGTCTGTTTCGGTGGATGCCAGTGAGCAAACTGGATCATGCGGCTGCACAAATTAAGAAGATCGGAATGTCCAGCCAATCTATTTTCGTTCGAGGGCTGACACGAAAAGCTTCTGAAGATATTCGTTATACTGAGAACTGTTTGCGCTTCATGTTCAATTTCTTCAATGTCAGCTTGTATGAGCTGCTCGCATCGGAATGTTTCGCAACTTTCACTTAAAGAATCTTCAATGTGTGCAGATTTCAGTTCTCTCCGTTGATTTGATTTTGCACTAGTTCCTTTGATTCCATTCACATGTATTCTCTGTTGCCGTAACGAGTCTAAAATTTCTCCGTGTAGACAGTTGTAGGACGACACATCTCGGTCACTTTTCGTTAAGCTCATAGCTTTCAAACGAGATAGCATTTCAAGGTTAGATATCCTTGAAGATTCTGTAACAGCATCAATGTGTTTCTTTGCTTCACAGGAATCCAACTGAATATCGTCATCTGCAACTTCGATTAAGTTATCGTACTTTCGCTTGCGTTCATTAATCTTTATATCGGGAGTAGTGATTCCATTTTTGGGCTTTTGATTAGATGCTTCATTGCTCATTTCTATGTTGGATTTCTTTGGCGTACTCTCGAAGTTTTCATTTTTTGGTAACGTGGAGCAGTTGCTTTCTTTGATTTCACTCAAATGTCTGGTTGAAAGTTTGTCGAGGTTTATTTGCAGATTTCCCAATAGAACGTCAATAATCCCCGGTAAAGAGTCAATGTTTAGGTGGTGCATCGTAACATCGTCGAATAAAATAACCGTAAGAGTTTCAAGAGCCCAATTGGTTTCTACCTTCAGGCCTGACTTCAAACTCATCAGAATTTTGTTCGCGTCTCCATGGTTGACATAAATAGCCGGAACTCGGGTGTTGGGTTTGCAAACAACTTCTGTTGCCTCAGTGCAAGAAGATTCGAAGTCGTTCTGATCAATGGAATCTAAACACACAAATATCTAAAATTCAAATACGCAAAATTTCATAGAAGAAATTGTAGAAATCAATTAATAAGGCGCAGAAAAAAGTAACATCAATTCAAAGTAAAGCAACAAACCTCTCCAATATGAAGTTTTCTCCTCCATAAAGTATTCAGTCTCGTACGTTGACTTCTTGCTTGATTTTTCAATTTCTTCAACGGGTTTCGTCTAAAATTTCACACGTCAAATTTGATCACTGAAATAATTTCTAATTCAACTTCGCATGCTTTTGAAACCATTTCAAACGTTTTGAAACAGATCTCTTTTGAATTTTTTTTTTGCTTGAAATGTTGCATATGATACCGAGATGCAAAATTTGGTTGGAAAATTGAACTTGCTTATTGGAGAAAATCTGATGCAACTATTCTTAACAAAACTAAATACTAAGGCAACCAGATTTTGAAGAGTTAAACCATAATAATAAAGGGAAACCAAATCAACTTACATCTTCAACTTCCGTTGCAGTTGTGGAAACTTTCATGCTAGTATGAGGGCTCGTTGAAGGTTGCTCTTCCACAGTCTCCTTCAAATTGTTAACACTGGCTCCACTGGATGAAGTGATGGGCGGTATGGGAGTCGGAGGCATGGGTTCTTTGTGTCCACTGGACGAAGGGTACGGATATGGCACAGTTTCAGACGCCTAAAGCGCAAAATGGTTTCTCGGCGATAAAAGTTGGCTCGTAAACTTGAGATTCTTCTTCTAATTTGAGGCTTTTCAGTTAAGATACTGTTTTATTCGTCAGCAAAACAATTAAACCCAAAAACAGACTTTCTCTCAAATCATCTACCGAACTTAAGATTACATCACGCAGAAAATACATAAAATAATTGTGATGGAGATGACGATTAAGCAATTCTTACCATATTAAACGCTGAATTCCTCCTGGGTTGCAATGTAGACGGTGCTGGAACAGTGGCGCTGACTGGAGGCGGGAACCCGTTTTCGGAATCCGCTGCTGTTTCTGGCGGCTGCACTCGATTTACTCCCGGTTGATATGGAGAGGCCGCTTGGGGAGGTGACATCATCGGAGGAGGCGCTTGGAGCGTCGGAGGAATCGGTGGGTTGTAGGCCGGAGCCCCTGACACTGGTGGTACGGCCATGGGACCGGGAGGTGGAATGTAACTTGGTCTGAAACTGGGTGCTCCAGGGTATCCACCTGGAGACACTGTGCCAATGGGAGGGGCATTATCAGGTGCAGGATAACTTTTAACATAACTTGGCCCACCACCAATTTGAGCCTCATATGGTTGGCGGAACTGAGGCTTCGGAAAGTACCCAGGTGGTACAGAGGGCGGTGATAGTTGCACAGCATTCGGGACCCCACCAGTCCTGCTACCCGGCCTCTGATTGTTCGCAAACTCGTCCGAGAATGGGTCACACACATTTATTGTGTGTCCGTTCATATCATCAGGCCCAGGATTTTGTGCCGGTGGATTCGAGATGTTTGAATTGTTTTGAGAACTTTTGCTCTTCTTACCACGTCCACCTTCTTCTAAATTAAATTTTTCAGAATTCAAACAAGTTGGGCAAAATTAAAAGATGCCAATATTGATTGCAAAAATAATACAGAGCTGTGTAACCTCATTCAATCTCTTGATAACTGAAAAAAAATAAGTGAGGACGAACACTGAAGAAAACTAAATCACCTTTCGGAGGCTTCTGCTTTGGTGGTCTTTTGCGCGGCGGCGGTGCGTCGCACTCTGCTTGAACGGCAGCTGGGTCAGCGCCATTCAGGTCATACTGACACTCGTATGGCAACAAAAACTTCGTGTAATGCTTCTTCATATTGTACGATGCCATCGGTGAGTTATTCAGGTCCATAGTGTTTGCTATGTCTTTCCACAATTTTTGTGTGCAAACCTGAAGTGATAAAAGAAATGCAAAAAAAGTGTGTGAGCATCAAAATAAACCATCTGATCACTTCAATTAACCCAACTTACAGTGGCGAATCCGCTCTTTTCTTTGACGAGATTGTAGAGACGAAACAGATCTACTGGCAGTTTTGCCACGCAGGGTACTTTGCTTTGAATTAATCCTCTCGTTTCCAGAATTTTGATTAGACGGTCGCAAAACTCTTTTCTGCCTGGCTCTTGTCCAAACGGTAGCGAGTACAGAAAATGATCTATACGCTCATCATCTTTACCACTCGACCCTGAACTGTTGTTTGTGGTGCTATGAGTTCCCTGGTTTTGTTGCATTTGAGGTGCGGGAGCTCGCATGCCTGTAGTTTGTTGCATCATCGTAGGCGGCCCGGTTCCGTTATACTGGCCGCCACCTGTTCCCATCGTCTGATGCATCATCTGGCCATGCTGACCTTGCATTTGGGATATCATTGCAGGGTGGTGATGTGGGTGTGGTGGATACATGTGATGTGGAGGAGGGGGTCCGTGCATAGAGTTCGCAGGAGGTGGGGGGAGGTTTGAGTGCATCATAGATTGACTATTGCCACCATTCGGATGGTTGATCACCTGGGGGCTCATCTGTTGGGTCTTCATTGCATGTGTGCTTGAGATGGACTCCTCTTCCTGCAGTGACGATACACTAGTGGCACTGGGCGATGGAGATGGCATGAATCCCCCCATGTCTCCCGGCATCTGACCTTGTCCAAACTCGTTCAGCTGAAAAACTTTTTCAAATAACGTCTAAATTTTTGAAGAACTGTGAATAGTTGCATTTCATTCAGGTAAAATGACAAAGTCATAAGCATGTTTTATACTTATCATCACAATAACTAAATCTTCCATAAAAATAAATTAAGACTAGTTTCACTTTAACCCAAACACACTTGTTGATGTTCGCTGTCGTTGCTGTTTTCGCTGCTGATACTGTTGGCAGTTGAGGATTGTTGTTGTTGTGCAATGTTCAGGCCTACCCCTGGATGACCACCGCCCGGGATATTCTGTTGGTCGTTTGCAGTCATTCTCTCTCCTCCCGACTGTTGTTTATATTGACTTGGGTGGGTGTTAGTCAGCAGCTGGTTCAACGTGGGTGACGGGGTAGCATTGCTGGAATTCAGATGGGCTCCCGGCCCACCAACAACAGTCATAGCTCCTTGAGGGTTCTGGCCTGTAACAGAAAACTCAGGTTGAATCATTATGTCGAACTACATTGTAACTGTCATCTGAGGTAGCAGGAAAAAATTATATTACACTATTTAATAGAAATTCCAAGTCGCGAAGTCAACCATTGATGAAAAAAATCTTGCTCCTTGAGGGATTTGAATGCAAATAAGGCGAAATAGCGTCACATGTACCGTTGAAAATGCGGTAAGTGCTTCAGTTTTCACAAATTGGAACAAAAAATATATTTGAGACAAGGTTACAAAAGTGGAATTGGAAATTAGCGAGTGCAGCAGTAAATTTGAACACGCCCCTCAACAAAAGATTGACGCCGTTTTAAGTTGCAATTACCCCCAAAAAATTGCTTTTCCATTTTTATTTTTCAATCAAATTTTTATCGCGTCTCTACTACGCAGGAACGACTATTTCAAAATCAATCACGCATTCAAAGCAAATAAAAGCATCAAAGAGACGTATTGTGTACTCTTTGGACTTAAAAATAGGTCCGTTTAATTTGACTCAATCAAGGTCAATGACTGTTACTGCCGCCGTTCTGCAAGATTAAGTTCACTTGTACACAACAACTACAGCGCTACTAATTTTATTATTAGTACCACACCGCAAGTGCATTTGTTGGCGTCATTTTTACAACACTCTCAAGGACTAATTTGTTTTGATTTGACTGAATTCGAGTTGACTTCAATTGATTTGACTTCATTTCATTCAATTCACTCCAGTTAAAATCAGACAGATTTAGATCAGCGCCAACACCAACAAACAGCAGCCACTTATTACATTCTTATCTCGCTCTTCTAATCCAGGTACTGGTCAGACTACCAAATAACACTTCAAACAGAGCATGAATGAGCTTAAGAGCACTACCACTACACATTCAAGGCAATTTTTGCTCTGAACTCTCAACTGACATTTTGAACCACCAGCAAGTAACATTACTAGACACAATAGACCCATTGAACAAATTCACCAACTGCTATTATTATCAACACAAAGCGAGAACACTTTCAAAGCACAATGCGCGATCAATCCATATGTAACTTCTTTTCTCTTCAAGGTCACCTATTGATAAAAATAACTCCGATTTAGACGCATATGACCGTTAAGCTACCAAACAAGCGCGCCAATAAGTACTACTACATACACACTGGCAGTGCTTTGTAATGCATTACTGTCATTATGAAGTAGCAACAATAATAGGTCACTAATTTCAACTCAGACGAGACTTCAACAGGGTATCAACTGACACATTGACAAGCGAAGCGATTAAGCCATGACCGATTTGTTTAAAATTAGAATGAGAATCGGGAAGAAAGATTAGCGGGGAAAGGACAATTTATGAGACAGTGAAATGGCAGGAAAAGCTTGTCTGCTTTCAATCAGATTATGGCCGCCTACTCGCGTCAAACAGGGCGGGCGGAGATAGGAACAGACTCGCTTCAAGGTTCAGGTTCAACGATCGATATTCACCAGGAACTATACTCACACAAAAGGAAGTTATTTCAGTCGATTGTGCGGTGAAGCAGTCAACGGATTAGCTTCCACGGTACAACCCAAACCAGCAAGACTCTATTTCATTTGAGGGCACTTGAACATTGGAGAACCTCCGATATTTGATATCAATGCAGTTCAAAACAATTGAAAATAGGTCAAACGAGTTCAACTCTAACACTTAGAATCAAACTACTTTAGGTACGAAAACCATTGTGATCTTATTTTCAAGACCGTCAGTTCAAGGCTCAAGAAAAACATTCAGCAAAAAAAATTCAACACAACATAATAAGTAACAAAAAATGGAACAGACAAAGAATTAAAAAGAGCAATCTGCCAATTTCGAGCAACTTTTAATGCAAGTTGGAATTAAATTTTAGGTGAACTTGAGACATACTTTGTCTGAGAATTAGCTCTTGCCCGCAAAAATTGTCTGGAATAAGTCATATGCTCTTTTTTTTATTAATTTTGTGTTCCAACTTTTTTGCAACTCTAGAGCAACTGACAAGCAGGATATCAGACGCAATTTAGCAGCCATTGGATTGATGATTAGCAGCCACAATCACGTCAACAAAAAAAATCATTTCGAAAAACAATCTGCAAGCAAAACCTTCAACCGCAAAAACATTACTTATTTAGAAATGAGCACCCACAACTAAGGGCGAATGAGTATTTTGAGTTGTAAAACCAGAAAAGACAATCAAAAGAGGTCTCCAATTTCTAACAATTTAGCGCAAACATTCTGGCCGGGCTGCCCGTATAGCTAAATGGAAAAATCAGGTAAGACTATCTAAAGCTTTTTGATAAACGCAACTCAACAAAAGGGTCAGAAAACTTGAATTTGAACAAGTAAAGACGTTAAATGAAAATCGACACAACACAAATTAAATCGACAATTTTTGTTCTCGTTATTTCTGAGCACCTTAACGGATTTAGATCATAATTAGTGGGTGCTGGTTCTCTTCCACGAGCTGTACTCAATGGAAAACTGTTGATAACTCAAACAGTTCCTGTTGATGGTGGTTAGCAACTAGAGGATTCAGTGAATCGGAAATGGGTGCCAGTTAACCACAAATTCCTAGTTATTGATTCATGCAATTACATGCTATTCTCGCGCCCTCAAAATTCAGACATTTTTTGGAAAAAAGTGACACTTGTCATGATTCTTACTTTAATTTGTCAGTTTATCGAGAAAATTTGTTTGAAGTAATGGCAAGCAGGTTGATATGAGCTTGTAAGAACAGTATATTGCATTGCACGTACAATGCGTAAAACCAAACAGCAGTTTTTTTCGATTTTTAAGCATACTTTAAGGAATCCCGTCTGCAGAACCTTCAAAACGATAAAACGTTCAATGCCCAATTCTTTGAGGCAACTGATTCGGCGCAAAAGATCTACACTGTAAGTCCTTCAAAGGGGGCTGGTCATATCAAAAGTTGCGTCAGGGCAAACCACAAGTTGAAACCAAAACACGAATGCTAAGTTCCAGCATGCATATAATAGAAACTTTAAAAAAATAATTTGAAAAACGTGATGAGAAAAATTTTGCAGACACCGGAATTCAAATCTTCAACTTTCGACGCCTCTGTGTAAAATCAATACTTGGCAACTTTCCGGATTTTCTGCAACTGCAACACACCCATGTCTCAGCAACCAAATGACCACGTATGAACGCTCGATGAAATTGATTGATTTTCAGAACTACCAAATACATGAGATTAGGCTAATCGTCGTTTGTAAAATTATGCCCGATTTATTTGGTTATTCCGAATAAACAATCTGTCCGGCCAATTTATGAGCAGAACCAACCAATAAGTCTGGAAAATTCAGACCGTTATTTTAAATTGAATAGACAAACAAAACTTCAAAATATGTTCGAAGGTATAAGAAAATGCTTTAATTTAATGCCTATCCGTCTTGTTGATTATCATAGTAACAGACTAAACCTCTACGCAATTCTAGCGTACTCAATCGGCCTGAAAAGTGTTCAAAATCGCTTAAAAATGTAGCAAAACAAGGAGAGCCGATTTTTGTGCCAGTAGCACAGATTGTTTTGACTACAATAGTTCGGAAGAAAATCTAAAACATATTTTTTTCTTCAGCCTGAAAACCAAGTTTATAGACCAGCATTTTTTGAGAAGGAGACAACTTTAAAAAAAAAAAATGGAACCCAAAACTCAACCATAAAGGTGTTAATATTATACTACATTTAACCTAACCCTCTGTAATATTTCTTTTCTGCAGTCAGTTTTAGTGGTGCCACATTTGTTCAAAAAAAGTCTTCGAATAATCGTCAGCAACATCCGAACATTCGTAGAACGTTCGACATTTCGTTGGGTTTTTCCGTATTCTTGAGGAAAAAATTATAATCAAAATTTAATTGAAAATTTTCCAACTTTCATGCAGAATATTTTGTATAATTACACAATCTCCAGTAAGTGTTGCCCATTTCTGCAACAACTTTTGCGGCAGTAATTAAAACACATTTAGACGGGGTGCTGAAGCATCGTATGCAGCAAAACTTCCTCGCCTAAGTAGTGAGTCTGGGATACTCAGTTTGAACAACTCAATAATACGCAGTTCAAATAGGACCGAATGTTCGCGAGAGCCTTCGAGTGTTTATCGTCGAACGAACATTCGAACTTTTGGTTGCATCTTCAGTAAAAAGTCAGAGTACTTTTTAACGCTTTTTGAATTTCAACAAGAACCTTCAGAAACTTTTTTTATTAAGCTAGCCTAATTATGAATACAAAAACTGCATCAATAGGTAGTTAATACAAATTCCGCATAAAAAAAATCGAGCGGACTATTTTTGGACACTGAGTTTTTTTTTAGCTGAATTTGAGCTCAGGACATCAAAAGCTGATTGATTTTAGCTTATTTCTAATTTTTGCACAGGAAAGCGTTTCGAGATGTTCAAAAACTGGTTTTTGGAGCCAAAATAGTTATTGGTCCGACTTTTGAGGAAAGTGATGAAATATTTGTGCTCCAAGTGTTTTTTTCTCCAGACCTATTTCAACTTTTTAACTAGCCACTTGAAGGAACTTTTAATCAGCTCCTTATATTTTACCTATAATTTACTTAAGATCATTTTTCGTAAGGTTAACGAGCGATATATTTCCTGCTATTTCACCGTAAGTTGAAATCGTTCAAAATTGAATAGTGGCAAACAATTAACTCTTTTTGATGCCTTTGCATATTCAAAATATATCACTTAGTGTTTTACATAGCAAGGGGGAGAGGGTAAAGAACAAAAAAACTATTTCAAAAATTTTAGTTGCTATCCATAAAAATATACTGTTTCAGAATTCATTGAATGCACTACTAAAATTTGTTTCAAACGTTTTTGCCGCACTGGCAAACCTTGCAAGTTCTTCAACTCAAAACAAATCACTGAAAGCAAATTCACCCAACCATATCCAAAGGGTAGTTTGATTTCTGATTTTGCATGAAAAAACAAACAAGATTCAGAAATTAACAAGGCTTCTTGGTCAGAAAAGAATTTCAGTGTGTTCTTTTTACTTTAATACTGTTTTGTTCGAATACTGTTTGAAACTCTACTACGAATTGGATTTCGTTGTATTGGCCAATTTAGTGAGGAAATAGATTTGCTTGTTTTTAAGGATTAGATTCAGCCGAAACTTTTTGGCTACTTTTTTTCAAAGCAACAAATGAAAAATTGATCGAAGGCAAAAATCAGGTTTCCAGGTTGCACTAGAAACACTGCTAATGTAAGCAGTCAATGATATTATAATGAATAAAAACAAAACTTGTTCTTTTTCTGCCAATAATTCAAATTTATCCTCTTGCCTATGTTTCATTCGATCTTTTACCACATTAAAAATAGGTACCTTTGTCTCTAGTGGAGTGCAATTTGAGGATCTTATTTTCAACAATTCAAATGCTAGTTTTAAATTAGCATTAAAACAAAATTTATGATGCGGTAAGAAGACCAGTGCGTTATAAAAAATTTCTTTGGCAATTATATTCTGAAACTTCTTTGCTAATATCAATTTTTTATAAACAACCGATTAATTGATAAACAAACGTTACTAGCCCGCTTTACTCGCTCGAAATTAGACTAAACAACAACAAATACGAGCCAGTTTTTCTCGACACAGAAATTTTTTACTATAAATTACAGGATTAAATCAAAACTATTTTCGATTAAAGTCAACTGCCTGAATCAGAAGTAAAGTCATATTATAAAAAGGATAGCCGATTGCTGTGCAAGTAGCACAAAATTTTCCTACCATATTCTAATAACTACAAAAAGTTTTTTTTTCAAATAAGTAATATTTTATTCAAATTGGGTCGTCTTTTGTTAGGAAAGGATTAAGGTCGTTTTTTGTTAGGAAAGGATTTGAATTAAAGCCTAGAACTTTTAGACATATCCGACAACCATAGTAAAACAAGCAAATTGAGCAACAATTTAGCCGAAAAAAGGAAGCAAAGCAAAAAAATGAAAAAAAATCAAATCTAACTTAATTATATTTTTTATTATCATTTTTTTTCCAGAATTTTTGAACGTTTTTGTTCTTAAGATGGCGCGAAAAAACAATCTTTCGGAAGCTTAAAGTTTCGCGGCTTATCCTTCTATAAAAACCTGCTCGTTCTACTCGAACGAAATTGAACTGAAACTTTAAACCATTTTTTCTCGACATTGTGACAATTTTTTGAAAAAGTCGACTTCGCTCTTATCACACCTGTTAAGGCTCTAACATGATTTATCATTCCAATGATTGTGTGTGATAACTGCTGTTGTTCAAAAAACGAAATCAGCCCGCTCGCTCACTTTATTCGCTCGAAATTGGAACAAAAATCAATCAAAACATTTCAAACTGGTTTTCCTGGACGCCGAGAAAATTTTAGGAAATGTATCAATGTCGCCCGAATTATGACTCAAAAGGGCTCGAAAACGATATATCATCCGACTCTTTCCAATAATTATGGTACCTGATTTTGCGTGGAAAACTGAAAAGAAACAATCTAAAACACGTCCGAATACAAAGTTCCTCCATATTTTCAATGGTTGGAAAAAACGGGCTTTCTTCCACATAGATTTTTAATTTTCATTTTTTAAGGCTTTGTTACGTGATATTATGTCTGAATGCATGTTTTTACGAGGTCATGTATGTAGGAAAAATCTTTTCACAATATTTAGTTTGTTCGATAAATCTGTTCACAATAGTTAGTTTGTTCGCCATGCAAAATTTCATTTCATTATGATAACGTTTAAATGGTTTTTCAAAACTGAAATTTAAAATTTTTCTTCAGTTTATAAACCTGTTGCAAACGAGCCAAAAAATCTTCTCGTTCGATTTAATAAATTTTCATAACAATTTGTCTTTCAATCGAAATTCAATAGCAAAATGATTCTTAGTCACGTTTTGTTTCGACTGGTGGGTATCGTTAATTTTACAGCATTAACTTGACCTGACTTACTAATTAAAGCCTGGTACTTACTTGAACTTCCGTTAACAGGATAACCTCCGTAACTCTGGATATTTGAATTAGCACGATTTTGTTGGTAAGATTGATTGGGTGAAGGGGGAGGTCCCATTGGTTTTCTAGGAACTCCGTTGCCCATCGGTCCATTGGCAGGCATCTGAGGACTGAACATTCCAGAAGTAGGTAAACCGTAAGAGTAATCTCCATGTTTTCCAGGTGGTAAAGCTCTCATAGGACTAGGACCATAAGCTCGGTGGGGGTTCGGAGGATAACCAGGAGCTCTCATGCCATTATTAACTAATGGCGATGGTGTCTTTGGCGCGTTAATTGGTAACATAGCGTCGTTTTGCTTAATATAACCTTTCTCGTTGGGCATCGGTGGTGGTATCATGATACGATTTTTAGGGTTGAATGGGTCGGAAGGAGACGTATGCTGCGATGCATCGGAGCTATTTAAATTTTCACTCTGAAACGCTACTCCGTTTTGTTTAGGAGATGGTGTGTTGTCTTTTTGTCCTGTATCCTTCTCAAGTCTAGATAGATCTGATTCCGGAGTCATGGAATCTCTACTTGGGTAATTATCGTTAATATGATCTGAAGAATTATGTGGCTTGTGATCGCCGTTATAGATTTGACTTCTCTGGTCATAACCATTTGTCATTCCAGGCGACGAGAAAAATCCAGTGGCAGTAGAATTGATTTTGGACCTGTTCTGAGAATTTGGAGGATAGATAGCACCTGTTGGTGGAGGAGTACTGTAAATACTTGAAGGATTTGGCGGAGTACCTCGTGGGTCGTTTGGCCTGTAATCATACGGAAACGACATGGACGATTGAAACGCGTTGCGGTTTTCTGTAACTTGATAGGGCTTAACTTGAGCAATATTACTTGCAGGTCCTTCTTTAAAATAGTTAGGCCTGGATATTTCGACTGGCTGAGCTTGAGATGGCGCAACGGCTGCAGTCGGTCGATAAGGCTGCATTACATTTGTCGTTGAAAACTGGGGAGCCATATTTGCGGTCATCAAATTGTTCGAAATACTATGTTGCCTTCCTAGGCCCTCGGACGAGGAAATTGTGGGCTGGTAATTTCCGGCAGCTGCTTGTGCTCGTGCCTGGTAACTTCTTATATCCATTTAGCTTCCCAAAGGTAATTTAAGTCATTTACCATTAATAATAACAATATCTAAAACTGAACAAATAAATTGCTTTATTGGCCTTGTCTAGTCCATCCCTTTGTTTAGAATTTTACGTTTTTGACAAGTGCAAAATTATGTAATGGTTCTTACAAGTTAGCAATGGCGATCATGTGTTCAAGTATGAATAACTGTATGCCGTATGTTTTATTGTAATCTTTGAAGCTCGATGACAATCGCACGTGGTTCAAGTAATGAATGTAAAATTGTCTTCAAAATTTCATTATTACACAGATATTGGAATAAGCAGAGTTAGCTTTTATCGCTCGACAACAAAATAAGAGAAACTCAGGCAGCGTAATGCACCAACAATAAACGCAATCGCGGCGAATATAGTCTTAGTGCGGCGTATTGTAAATTAATGCGTGGCTTGGCTATGAAATAATGCTTTTTCAGTAAAACGTGGCTATATATGCTTTGGTAAAGAGCAAACTAGATATAAAAGATAGGACAGAACAGCAAAGCAAGTGAACTTACTTACAACGCAACAGGAACAGCCATCGAGAGCCAAGCCAACAACATTGCTGTAATAATGCGAGCGGAGCCGTTTGTTGATAAATGCAACGCAATGCTGTTTCTCTTTCTTTCTAGCTCAGCCTCTGTTCGCTCTATCCTTCTGCGCACAATATAACACGCGTTCTTTGCTAAATATCTATCTCTCTCTACAAATCTAACTTCATATCCTTCCAACGAGCCGTAATGTCGGTTAAATTCTCTTTGTATACCAACTACAGTACTGCCACCGCAAGCACTACTCACTTCAATAAACAGCGCAGAGCCACATGTTAATCCGCGGTGCAAGCAATGCGACGTGCCGTCGTTCCGTATGCCGATTATTCAAGCGCTCCGCTCTGCTCACTGCACTTTAAGCTCAATTCCCGTGCTCTGAAAAAAGGCCTTTTCGAAAATTTGTGAAGAATAATTTTATCCTTTTTGTTGTAAGTTTCTTTCAATAATTCGAAGTGAGGCCAATTTTAAGGCACAGTCAGATTGTTGAACAATTGCTCCAAGAGAAAAATTCGTCACAAACTTTACTGCTGTGACAAATTGTTGACTTTTTTATCGAAATTTTAAATTCGATCAGCTGGATAGGACAGAGATTGTTTTTATAATCCCTGAAAACAAAAACTAAAGGCAGTGCTTTTCTTTTAGCTCTCTAATTCTTTTAAAACTGTGTGACTACTTTTCTGTTAATCTTAAAACGCATCATTTTATACAGATATATTTGTTAAGCAGTTTGTCATAGTATTTGAATATAATTTGCGCTAACTCGCTTTCACTCTACTATGCTCGAAAGCACAAAATGCAATTCTAGCTTGAATTCTACAGAGAGAACAGGGCAATTTTAAATTTACCTGAAGGAAAAGGAAGCGAAATTTCATATGAGCTGTTTCGCCTTTCGCATTTGTGCACATTTTATTACTCAGAAAGAAAAGAGCTCTCAAGAAGAGCTAAAAACGAATAAATTTGCAATCAGAAGAAACGGGAAAATAGAAGAAAATAAAAACGGCAACGAAGGCTTGAAAACAGTAACATCCTGGCAAATGAAAAGAAGACCGATTTAGGGAAGATAAGTTGCGCCTTAAAGATTTCTATCAGTCAGTTATAAAAAGATAGAAAATGGACGCGCAAATAATTACAGTGTTGTGATTTCTGATTGCTGTCAATTTGACTGCGTTTTAATCTAAACTACCGCAAATGAGAGGCTTCGCATCATTCTCAACACATTATCTCAACGAAACGCTATGGCATAGAAAAAAAAATATTTTAGCCCAGCAAATTTGCTGAATAGTAGTAAACGAACAAGAAATTTCGCATTCCACCGTGCTTCAAGGTGTTCGCAAAATTTCACTCATCCGAAATGACTTATAAAATTCTATTCAGTATTGCTCAGACTTCAGTTCTAAAAACAGTTCACGTGCGATCTGTTTCGTGAATTTATTGGGGTTTTGAAAACTCAATTTGGCCAAAGTGGCATTAACCATTAACGCGCGTATAACTTCGGTTTTCTTAGGACTCGTCCGGCTCTCCCACAACCCAAGAAAATATAGCATTTTTAATAAATACGCATTCACTTTCCGATTTCGTCATCTTTCACGTAGGCAAACTCATATTTTTCGTTTCATACTCAACCTTTTTACATCAATGTATTGCGACTTTTTTGTAACACAATGTTTTGCTCTTTCCCCTCTTCCCCCGGTCTCCACCTCACTCACTCGAGCATCAATTTTATGGTGTAAGAGGGGTCTTACAAGGCTAAGAAAGAAGAACAAATGTTTGTCATGGCCTAATAAGTTCGCATGCAAATTAGTCTCTTTTTCCTTCACCCCCCCCCCCCCACACACCTGCAAAATTTTACTATTGAAATTCTGTTAACTTTATCCGAATATTAGGAAAATTGGCCTGCGAACTATGTTGGAGTGGTGCCTCGAAAGAGCAACTATGATAGACAGGTCCCGCATGCATTACGCATGTTATAATTTTGAAAACTAGTTTGTTTATAAAGTATTCATTTCAAAAATCTGGCGAAGTACGTTGAGTCAGAAACGTTTCAGATTAAAAATTCTAATTACTATATTGTTTATATCAAGAAATATGCTCGCTTCAACTTAATTTACGGTTTAAAAGCCATAATTGGATTGGCATATTTGTCATTAAAATTCCATTTTGAATTTTTGACCTTAAAATGTCGAGGGGGGAGATTTTACGAAACAAAGAAACTTAAATTTTGTTTAAAAATATACTGCGTCAACTTTCTGAACGGCGAAATCATTATTGTTAAATTTTTCAGAGCCCTAGGAGTCTTATTCTCAAGGGACCTGGTTAATTTCAAGGGACCACTATCATAGTAGTACCACTAATTAGGCCATGACAAACAAATTTGGTCTTCATGTTTAACCTTGTAAAACCCCTCGTTACACCATAAAAATGATGCTTATGTGAGGTGGGTGGGGGGGGGGGGGGGTTGGAAGGGTGTAAGAGCCGCAAATTTTTGTAACAATCGGACAATGTGAAAAGAACTATTAAAAATTTAGGCTCTTCTCCAATTTCTCACCCCCCTCGTAAAATTAAAAAACCAAACTGTTCAAAAATTGTTCACACGGCAATTTGCATGTTAGACATGTTGAAGAAATTTACTCACACGGCAATTTGCATGTTGAAGAAATTTACTCACCTGTTCACGCTGACTTGTTCTTATGCAGTTTTTAACATGAATAGTCATTTTGAATAGACTTTTGTATAGAGAATTCTAGAAAAAATCAAGGGGGGACTGGAAAAGAACCAAAATTTAAAGGTGGGGTGAAGGAAAAAGCCCCACAAAGTATGATAAAACCTCAATTGCAAGGCCGGATCTAGGATTTTCTCGAGGGAGGTTGATTTTCAAAAAATAGTCGGAAATGTTATTGAACTTTTTTTCTAGGTCGATCAAACTGATTCAAGACTTCATTTTGACAAAATTTGCAGCACCGCAAGCAAATTTTTGAAAAAACCCAAAATGACGTTTCGGTCACTTTAAAAAAATTGGGCTCTTTTCCAGTTTCCCGCCCCCCTCGAAAAATTACAAAATAAAATTGTTCAAAAATTGTTCACATGACATTTTGCATGTTAAAAATGCTGTACAAATTTGTTCACCTGTTAACGCTGACACGTTTTAACGCAGTTTATAACATAAAAAGTCATTTTAAATAGACTTTCATATATTGAGTTTCAGAAAATGTCAAAGGGGGGACTGGAAAAGAGCCAAAAAATATTGCCAAAAAAATTGCCTTTTTTTTTATCGGCGAGCGCTCCTCTTCAAAACTTTAAGAGCTGGTGAGCCGAAAATGGATGTAATGAAATATTACCAAAAATGGAACTCTTTGGTTGCGAGGACGTCGAATCCCTGATAAAAATTCAGCCGAAGATACCAAATTAAGAAACTCTGACAATAACAGTATTTTCAATTCACATGGGAAATTTTGCTGAGACCATAAAAATGCAGAAATTAGTTTCAGCAGAAAAAATTCCAAAATTTTGGTAATATCGGCCACAATTTTATCTGCTGGAAGTTCTGATTGAAATGCCTGACCACGTTGTTTGAATTTGAGTGTCCAATTAGTCAGTCCGGTTCAACCTTATTAATTTTAGTTCACTAAAGATGTAGAAATACTGATTTTGGGCCATTTAGTGCATAAGACGCCCATAATTCTCAACCTTTTTGCTGTACCCATTTTTTTGGCAGACCAGCTCAAAACTTTTCATAACACTGCCACGGGCGTCAATACCGATTTTGATAGGGAATTGAAATCCAACAAACGTAGTTTTTTCAGGAAAACAAATTTCTAACTGCCCAAAACTAGCCGATTTTGCAAAAGATTTTGACCCAACTTTTTTCTCTTTCACAAGAGCTCGGAAATTGTGGATCTAGTCAACAACCCAACCCTCCTTTTTGACCTTCATCCTATATCCACTCCTGATTGAAAACAAATCGAAGATCTTGACCAAAAAATGTGCCATACCAATGTTACTAAAATTGAGATTTTTATGTGGTCTCATGTTGAATCCTAGAGAAGGGGTCGCGGAAACGGTAAGGTCTCTTCTAAATTCTTAACTCTTGATTTTTTTATAAGTATCATATGGAAAGCATAATAAAACATAACATGCGAGTGGATTTCGTGATTTTAATTTTTTTTGTCAAAAAATAGTTTAATCGAAAAAAGATTTACAAAGGATCGTTGGTTGCTGAACAAGCAGAACAAAGTTCCGACTCGAAATAATGTTAAACAAACTTAAAAAGCGACTCACAAAAGCGATACTTAAAATTCGAAATAATTCGATTAGCTAATTTTGGGCCCGAATCCAAAGTTACATATTTCCAGACTGCCGCGACCGTGACTCAATCTGTACTCCTCATTCTGAAGTTGTTTTTCGGATTATGTTTTTCACAAACTTTCAAAAATTAATGCATAACTGTTGTTGTACCTATCTATACATAACTGAACGAGTGGTTCACACTTGTTTAAGAAATTTATATTTACATTTTGAAAATTCCCCCTGAAAAATGCCAATACTTTGAAACTTTTAAACTTTTTACTGATTGATATTTGAAATATAATATATTACGAGTGTTCACGTTAGTCTTTTTTCATACGAAGACACGGATGACCATCCTAAAACAAATATCGCTATCCTAAAACTTGTTTTTAGATTTATAGGAAGTTTCCGCTAATTTACAACGTTTTAGATAGCAAATTTTTCTCAAAATTCAACAAAATCACCCGCAAAACTCTGATCTTGATTCTATATGAAAACAAGGATAGCCGATTACTGTGCGAGTAAAACAGAAGTATCCGGCCATAAACTTAAAAAATTTTCGAATTGGTGCCGTTTTTCTGCGTGATGTGATAGAGAAAAATCTGAGCGAAAAAATAGAAATCAGGCAAATGGGGCAATCATAATCAAATAGGCCATTTGGAACACATTTTTTATGGAAAAAGAAAAAAGAAAAAGAAAATCATAAAATAATTTGAAAAATTTTCAAAAATGTTTTTTTTTCTTGTTTTTTGGCAAAATATTTTTTAAGTTTAGAAAATTTGATTTTGATTTTGAAAATCCTTTAAGCCCAAAATATGTTTAAAAACCCAAAAAATAACTTAAATCAAGTAAAATAAACTTTACAGCTTAATTTTAAATCAAATAAGCTATTGTAATTCTGGCTAAATTTTTTAATTGAAAATTAGACCAAAAATCAAAAATTTCGAAACGGTTTTTCTCAACACAGATTGTTTTTGGAATTTCTTAAATGTCAATCAAATTACGACTGAAAAAATGAAAGGGCTCTAATAAGAACTATCTGTCGACCCATTCAGATGATTATTTGTGGATAACAAAAAGATTAAATGAAAAAAGCCTAAAACACGCCCGATTTCAAACTTTTATCTTATTTTTCAAATTTTTGGAACAATAACTTTTAAAAATCAATTTTGAAAAACTTTTGTTTTTGTCAAACTTAGGCATGTAAAAACTTAAATATAATAGTTATAATGCATGCACTTCTGAACAAAAAAATGCGAAATAAACTAGTAGTTATACTTCTTAGCGGTTCATAATTTTTTGGAGAGAATAAAAAATCAACTTTGAGACGTCTTGTCATATGGTTTTGGACATGTTGTGTGTGGGGTTCAGGTATAGACAGATATTTCTGGAAATCAGCAAAAACTGACTCTGTAAATCATCCGACTTTCCGTAAGAAAACCAGACGTTTGGAAAACAAGATTTTTGGCCTATGAACTTCTGTTTTTGTATTCGGCGACAGCTGGTAATTTTGGAACTGGTTATGAAAACATTTGTTTGAAAAAAAATGAAAAATTTTGATAGAAAAAGTTCCTATCTTGCAACTTTCTTGTAAGAAAAGTAACCCTCTTAGTAATTCTTCTAGTAACCTTCTTAGAGCCTATTGTTGTAAGAATTCTAAGATACTTATGAAAAATCTAAGATAGCTTCTTTCAGTCAACCAGGGCTGTTTGTTGGAAATTTTTGAGGTCATCATAAAATTTCACCATAATTTTGTTGGATCGCGATTGCTTTTCTATAAGCGAAACGCAAACTTACAATTTTTTCGCTTCAGTATTTCACAGAATTCGAACAAAGC